TGATGATGATCAATGGTCATGGCAATTTGCGTGTTAAGTATCAAGGAACTGACCTTCCAGCCCGTTGTTCACCAGTGGGACAGTTTCAGTCATTGTGCAAATGTCCTGTTTGTAAGGTTGGAAACTTGCAGTCAGCCGAGAGTGGATGAGTGATGAAACATTTCTCCCGCTGAAAACGTCCAGATGAACAGAATCAAACTTTTGGGAGTCTGAAAGTAAAGAATATGAAAACAGAATTCAAATATAGCCTTAGATTACTGTGTAAAGCCAAAAACTACAAACAAAAGCCTCATTTTTTTATCTGTACTTTGATGCTTGTAGAGCAATAACATTGTTGTGTGTGTGTGTCTGCTGCAGTGTGTCAGTGTGTCTGTACACAAAGAAGAGGATGATGATGAAGAGGAGGAGGACATAAGAGAAGGAAGAAGGGAAGACAAGCGCCCTGTCGCCTCAACTCCTGTGCCTGGGTCCCCATGGTAACCATTGTTCTGTAACATTGTTGTTGTTATTGATGATTATGGATTTTTCAGACATGTTTTAGCCTAAATTCATTAAAAATTCATCAGTGGCTGATCTGGACGTTTCCACTGTTTGTACTGTGACTCCTCTCTGGTGTTACCAAGGCAACCATGAACCGATGCAGTCGTCTGGTTGTTTTGTGTTTTAAAGGTAAGACTGCAAACAAAAAATACAACGGCGCTGAGGATGCTGATTGTACAGACTGTCATCTGTGGGTCTGAGAAAAATCATGCCCCTCAGTCTGTAGCAACTATAACTTCACTTTTCTGTTTTTCAGGTCATGTTTGTGTTACTGTATGAATACAAAAGTTGAATCATTTAATCACAGAATATTTGTCTTGTTTTATTAGAGAATGACAGAGCAGTCGTCCATCTTTACCATTATCTTCCACAGCCACTCAGCTCCTGGATTTAGTTGAACCATTTAAGCTCCTGGAGTCGTGAACCTGAACTTACTGGACACTGTCATATGCCTCTCCCCTGTCCTGATTTATGTCCCTGTCCTGTCCATTTTCAACATTGAAGCCGGTGTACCCACAGGGAACCCACACAAACATGGGGAGAACATGCAAACTCCACACAGAAAGAGCCCAGGCCTGATGGGGAAATTGAACACAAGATTCAAGATTCATGAGCTTTATTGTCAATATAGTAGTATACACAGTGTACAGTGTACCAAAATGCTGTTTCACCCTAAGCCCCCCATGGTGTATTTATAAATATATAAAGGATATATCTCCAAGAGATATAAAACTAGGAATTACAAATAAATAACATGCTAAATTTCGGTAAAATTAAGGGATAAAAAGGTACTAATTACTAACTATACAATTCTATACAATACTATAATGGTAACTATATAATATTAACTGTGCGATAAACAAAGACAGGACAGAGATAATACAAAGTGGAATGTGCAGTAGGTATTGAACAGTGTTGGGACTAAGGCGTTATTAAGTAACGCGTTACAGTAACTACGTTATTATTGTGGTAACGAGCACGGTAACTAGTTATTA